TTCTGTTGGGGGTGACACTTCTGCCTAGTCCAGTGATACGGAAAACGACTCTCGTGTCTGTCGTGACTTCTTTGGTTTTGTCAGGCACCTTAAACTAGCCAACGTTATGGGAATACAGTGACAGGTGACTGTCGTGTAACTGAGGACACCAAGCAGCTTCAAAACCAGGGCCATCAAAACCAGGATTTTCCCCACCCCTGATCTGGTTTAGTGTCAAGTGGATAGAGGCGATATTTCAGTCAAGAGGCCATTTTCTCTCATGGTGACTGTCACTCCGTCATCAAGCTCTTGTCATATGCTGACTTTAAGGAAACTTGTAAATCTTGCACACATGGCAGCCCGGGCCCAGCTGTCCGCCCACATATACAGAGGGAGCCAAAAAAATGTATACACATTTTAAGAAAGGAAAAAACTGTATTAAAATTGTAACACTCAATATGTACCAATAACAAAAGATGAATACACGTCATGTGTATACATATTTTTGGCACCCCCGGTATATACAAGCAGAGAGGTGTGGCCAGGGGCTTTGTGGGACCCCCACCACCTTGTACCGGCTTCCCCTCGGTGCTTCCCCTCCGTGGGGTGCCCCCCTTGCTTTGTGTCTGGCTCTCTCTACTGTCACTTTAACTTGTTCATGTGGGGAGCAAACACTTGTTGCTATTATTAAATCCAAAACAATAAGCAGCTATGACAAGCCCCCTGGGGGTCTCACCCATGTCTGCCCCCCAAGAGTGGCCTGGGCAGGTGGAGGTCTGAGGTAAGAGGCCTGTCTCTGGGACACGTGCACCTCCTGAGAAAGCAGGTCTCTGGTGACCCAGAGCAGCCCCTTCCCCAGCCAGGTGGCAGCAGCCACCTCTGCGTGGTGGGGGGGTGGGAGGGGACACGCAGGTTGGAAAGCATGTCTTGCCGTGAGACACCTGCTGAGCTGGGAATTCAGGAGGTAGGCCCGGGGTCCTCGAGATGGCAGCCTGGCAGCACTTGCCAGCAGAGGCCGTGGAGCAGAGTGTCCTCTGGGACTTTTTGCAGCCATGGGACCGCCTGCGCCTGTGCCGTCCACAGCAGCAGCCAGCGGTCCCTGGACGGTCCTGTGACTGGTGGCCCTTGCATCGGACGAGGCGGCCCCAAGCTCACAGGTCTCAGCCAAGAGCCCACGGGCCTGGCATGAGGACCTCAGGGGAGACGCGGAAGGGCCCAGCTGCTGCTCAGGTGTCCGGGCCCCACTTGGCCAGCGTGCATGTGATCAGAAGCTGACAAGGGGGGCGTCAAGGGGGTGTCCTGCACAGATGCCGGAGCACCCCGGGAACCCAGGTGGGGGAAGGAAGCCGGCAGTAATAGTCAGCTGGCCTCGACTGCCTCCCTCACACCCTGCCTCCCACAGCTGAGAGCTGGAGAAACAATCACGCCTTCTGATGACAACCAGGGCTGGAGACACATCAGAGGTGATGTATGAGCACTTTATTCAGACTATAAAACGGGAAATCTATTCTCTTAAGTTTTCTCAAGTGAGGGCTTTGGAAGTCCCCAAAGCTAGTCCCGTTGCAGGCGAAGTTAGCTGATGATGATTGCAGGGGCCTCCCCGAGACCCGCCAGCAAAGCATCAGTGGCGCTGGATCCTGTCGGTTTCTGTCTCCAGGGTGGGAGCCAGCGCTTCCCAGGCCGCAGGGGTTCCATCGGCTTGTGGGAGGGGCCTGCCTTCGGGCAGGGGGCTCACAGAGCAGGGTTGCAGCAGGGCTGGCCCTCAGGAGGGCTGTCTGCAGCTGTCAGACCCAGCCATTGAGGCCTGCCCCTTAATCTCC